CTCCCAACCTCCTGAGAAGGCCCAGCCCCTGGCCGAGGCCCACAGCATGTGGCAGCACGTGTGCAGGACTAGAATCCAGTGTCACTGGGTGCCACTGCCAGTCCAGTTCCTCAAGCCAGGGAGGGAGAGCTGCCCTCAGCCGAGAGAAGCAGGGGTGCTGCTGGTGGTGGAGTATGAATTAGCTCCTAAATCAAGTAAACGTCTTCTGGGCCTGTTTCCCCAGCTGTACAATGGATATGAGGCCCTCTTCCTTACCAGCTAATGTCGATTCGATTAAATGAGTACAGAAGTGAAAGCGCCTGGCCTGTCCACTTATTAAATGCAGGGAGCAGAGCAGTTTCCATGGGGGTGCTGCCTCTTCTGATTTCTCAGATGGGGAAGGGTCAAGCCAAGACGTCTGGCTGAGGGGCGCCCAGACCCTGCTGGGGAGGGCAGGGCTTCCTCACTCCTTCCCCAGCCACAGAATAGAGAGAATGTCCACTTCCCTGCCCAGGAGAGAAAAGCATGGGGGAGCCCTTAGCTTCTCTCTGCGCCCTCTTGCTCTCGGCTGCCCAGGGGAGGAGGAGTGCTTCCCTCTGACTTTGGGAGAAGGAACTGAGCATGCTCTGTGTTCCCGGTGGCCCCGCCCCCCACCCAGCAGTCAGTCCACAGGCACCCTGGGTGCTGCCTGCAATTGTCCACGTCTCCTGTGGGGAGTAGCTCAGTCTTTTCAATTTGGAGGTGAGGTTTCAGCAAGCCCATTTGGCCTCAGGTCTAAAGCAGTATTCTCCTTTTAGCCTATTGGTAAAAAAGCTGGCATTTTAATCTCATTTGACTGTCTCCTGGGCCTTATTTCTCGTTTGATTCTGAACTTGGGAGAATAAAACAAGTTATTTATAGGGGGCTTCCCTGGTGGCGCGGTGGTTAAGAATCCGCCTGCCAACGCAGGGGACACGGGTTCGATCCCTGGTCCGGGAAGATCCCACATGCCGCAGAGCAACTAAGCCCGTGAGCCACAACAACTGAGCCTGCGCTCTACAGCCCGAGAGCGCCGCAGCTACTGAAGCCCGTGCACCTAGGGCCCGTGCTCCACAACAAGAGAAGCCACCGCAATGAGAAGCCCAAACACATTAGCAACCAAGAGTAGCCCCGCTCACTGCAACTAGAGAAAGCCCGTGTGCAGCAACGAAGACCCAACGCACCCCAAAATAAATAAAATTTTAAAAATACCAAAAACACTGCTTAAAAAAAATAACAAAGAAAAGCTATTTACAGCCTCCCTAAACCTAAACATTTTCCAAGGTAGGAATAGGTATTCTCAAGTCAGAGACTTTTTAAAAAAATATTTATTTATTTATTTATTTATTTGGCTGCGCCGGGTCTTAGTTGCAGCATGCAGGATCTTTTAGTTGTAGCATGTGGGATCTTTAGTTGTGACATGTGGGATCTAGTTCTCTGGCTAGGGATCAAACCCGGGCCCCCTGCACTGGGAGTGCAGAGTCTTAACCACTGGACCACCACGGAAGTCCCTCAAGTCAGAGACTTTTGAACTCTTTAAAGAAATCAGACATGATAAGGATGTACTGAGGCCAACTAAAAATCCCTTTATTTGCCCTTGTCTGGAACTATTGACATGGCTCATGATGAGGTCTGAGGGGCGTTACGTATGTCTGCTTTAGAAAACAAATGAAATGCTAGTGAGTTCAGTTTGTTGACAAAATATCTTTCAGTTATAGGGTTCAGCTTAGGTCTACAGACAGTGGTCCTGCAGGTGAAGAGGCTGCCCCTGTGGGGCCCTCAGAGTGCCCTGAGCTTACCTCTCTCACTGTTCTAATCACTCTGAGTTGGGCTGTCCACTTGCTATTCTGTCACCCTTATAACGTCCCGCAAGTACTTTTTTTTTTTTTTTTAAAAGCACATGGTAGGTCTCAATACATGGATGAATAGATGCAGAATTAAAGGGAGGAGTGGTCATAGCCTTGAAAGAGGAAGCTCTGGTGCAGCAGAGGCAAGAGAGCACCTTTTCTCCCCCAGGGGGTCTGTAAAGGCCTCCCCCGGGCTCCCTGCCACCCTGCCAAACGTCTTCGTGGAGTCCCCTGGCTGGCTCCATGGGCACTAGCTTTGCAAGGTGGAGGGATTAATGTAATAAAGATCTCAACAGTCTCTGCCCCCAGTGGAAAGCTAACTGATCTTAAAGAATGAAATCCATAGGAACACAGACTCAAGCCAAGGGTCTTTCTGAGGTTAGTGTGCACTGCCTGGCTAACTTAAATTATTTTTCCAGGACACATTAGTTTTACTAGACATTTCAAACAGAAGCTGATGTCTCTGCTTGGTGACGGACCTGAAGTGGGTTCTGAAGTTGAACTGTCCTGGGTTTCTGTGCTGGCAATGTGGCCCTGGGAAGGTCCCTGAGCTCTGGCTCTGGGTCCATAAAATACAGCTAATGATCCCTTCCTCAAAGGACTATGGCAGAGATGACACATATTTTCCAAGAGGAGAATATGTACTGTTGGGGCTACATGAGTAGTTTAGGTGATACATGCATGGACACTTAAAAAATTTTTTTTTGGATACACCTTTGAAAAAAACTGGACCAGTACATCAAACTATGGTTTTACCAACAATCGTTGCATAAGATGAGGGTGAAGTTGGTATAAATGTCAGGCTGGAGTCTGTTTAAAGAAAAATATCAAGTAAAAAAAATGGTACAGATGGAGTACAGGGGAGTGTGTGGCAAAAAATTCTGAAATGGAACTCGAAGGACTTCTTTGAGAATACCTAGCCCCTAAAACTCATGTCTGCCGGTAGTAGGTGCTCTAGAAACGCTGCGTGTTCCGGTCAATGGCCCATCAAAGCAGGCACCCAGGGAAGGACTGAAGGACAGGCTAGTACCAGGGCAAAGCTGGAAAGAGTTAAAAGACAGAGCGCTGCGGTTTCTGTGGCCCATCCCCCCTGCAGCTAATCTGTCACCTAATGAAGAAGCGGCCGGCACAAGTGAGCTGGCTGGCAGTTCACTTACAGCAAACTGATTAAGAATGTTCAACCAACAGCAGACTGTAGACCTTTCCAGAGAAAATAAATAGAGTGTAGACTGTATGCAAATGTGTTTGTCACTTTGACAGCACGTCTCAATTAAGGCATCTCATGGCTGTGGGTAGGCTCTGCGGCTGCAGCTGTAAGGGAGAGCCCGCTGCATGGCTGATACTTGGGGCTTGACCTTAATCCGCATGCATGCATTAAAAAAAACCCTGCCTTCCTGTACACTTGCATAATACTGGCAGCCACGTGAGGGAAGTGACAAACTGGGGAAAAAAAGCCACTTTCATCCTCTCCAGTTTACAGACCTGTGAAGGCACAGACAGCTCTTATTTCAACAGAGTTTGGGGTGGCTTTTTTAATTGTTTATCCCCCACCCGTGCGCACACACGCTCTTATTCTGCATTTAGCTGGGAATGACATTAAAGCATCTCTACTTCTCGCTGAAATGGAAAGAAGGTCTTTCTCCATTTCAAATAGGGCCTCCTTTTTTGTGTTTCGAAAACGGAATGTTTAACACCATGAAATCCCTCCCCCCCCCCCCCCCCCCCTCCTCCAAGCCAGGCTTTCAATCAGATGCCTTGGGCTCCAATCCAGAGAGGGGCTCTTTTCATGGGCAGGTTAGTGTGTGCAGGAATGAGGACAAAGGAAAGCAGGAAGCTGGCTCTGGAATGCCATGCTGGCGACGACTGAGCCTGTGCTTTCAGCAAACACAGCCAGGGAACTGGGGCGCAGATTTCTCCAGCCGGGCCTGAGCCCCAGGAGGAGGCAGCTCCTCAGGGGTGCGAACACTGACGCAATTTGAAGATAATCATTAATCAGATGAGCACTGCCCTGTGGACGTTTCTTTCTTGTGCTACATTTCAATTTTTATAACATCCCTTTTAAGTGTAAAATCAGAAAAGGGGGATGGATGTCCCCAAGTTTAAGACGTATGAATGTATTATCTAAAAATATTGATTACAGGGGAAGATTCTTATGTTTCAACAAACTCATCCCTCACAATAATAACCCACAGCAACAATTTCATTAGTTCCCTTCATTTCTAAATAGCTCAAAGCCCGGTACATAGCAGGCACTTGATAAATGTCTGCTAAAAGAAGGAACGTTTTAAATGCATGCTTCTAGATCATTTAGGTGATAAAATAGCATCATATTTAAGATAAAACCATGAAGATTATTTTAATCATGGGGATGGAATTAATCACCTAATAAATGGTTAAAGAATCAGGTGATTTAAGAATAAATTAACCTTGCAAATTCTTGTTACAGTCATAGCTTGCTAACAGAGCCATTTCTCACAAATAAAAAAATTATGACTTTTGCTAATCAAGAGAGTTAATTCAAGAGTAGAGGAGGGTATACAGCCTTTTTCAACCAAAAATATAACCACTGATAGGAAATGGATAAGAAAATTTTCAGTTTCTATATGTTTTACTTAAGGGCAAAAAATCAAACAACTGGACAATTTTTAAACGCTCAGGTCGAAAACAGTTGGTTACAGAATCGGATCATGAGAATCGTAGCGTGAGTGTTTACTCTGAGAAGCACGACACCCAGAATTGATTTTCAGGAAGTACATTAATAAAGAACTCCTAATTGATTTTTTTTAAGACTTTGCTTGTTACCTTTTATTTGAAGGTGCAAAGAAGGGCCTGGGATGCTAAAGTGTTCTAATGAGATGCTTAGCTAACAGAGGCACCTTAAACGGAGTGCCTTGGAGTGGGGAGGCAGCAGCTGCATTTAATGACTTCATTCAACAGTTCAGCTGGTTTACGACCAGAGCCATGCTGTCTCCTCAAAATTTCTGAAAATTCACCTTTTCGAACCATGTTTGCACCAAGCAAACCTTTGAGACGTGCAAAACTCCATGGAGTTGTCTTGTTTTGCCAAGAGAGAGCCGAAATGAAAAACTGTTACATGTGCTGTATCGTCTGCCGAAACATAACAAAAAGCCCAGATGGAAGGGCCAGGGTACATACCTGTCCAAAGTGGACTGTGATTGGCCTCCGGTCTTCTCGGAACTTGGCGTCCTTGGCTTCCACTAGTGGGGACGGTGCAGTCTTTGGCAGCTGCTCTTCTGTGGTTGGGACACAGCCATTCTCGGTGATGTCCTGCAGGGAGAAGCCCGGTCAGGGGGTTGGTGTCAGGGTCATGACCCCTGCCATGAGCACAGGGGCTCCATCCAACCCCATTGCTAAGAGGCCTGCCAGGGAACTCCCTCTGGGACATTCTGAGCCTATCCCCCTGCTAAAGATGAAGGAAACGGAAGGCTAACTTGGCCTTTTGACTTTTAAGGAGTAGAGAAACCAAAACCATGCATATTAAATTACAAAGATAACATAATAATTCACAATAGTGTGTGTGGGGGAGTGTTTCATCCTACTACCTTACATGGTTATTTTAATTTTTAAATATTCTCTCTGTCCACATGCAGACATTTAAAAATTACTTGCAATCATAGCTCGTGCATAGTTTTACATTCTGGTTTTTTCTACTATAAGCATCTCCGTGGTGCTCCACAGTCATTAGAATGATAATTAATGGATGCATAATATTTCACTGAGCAGATACTCAATAATTTAATAAACCATTCTTACTACTATTGGGCATTTAGATTGTTCCTAATTTTTTTTTTAACTTTCTAAACATCTAAACATCACAGTGATAAACACTGCAGTCTTTCTTTTGTATTATTTCTTTTACAGAAATCCCTAGGAATGAAACTGCTTGATCAAAAGATACAAACATTTTTAAGGCTTTTTATTCATTCTACCAAACTGCTTTCCAATTTACACCAACTACCAGCAATGGATGTGTTATCCGTTTCACTGTGCGTGTTAGCCTCATCGTTTTAAAAATGTATTGCTAATTTAAGAGGTGAAAAATTAGACCTCATTGTTGTTTTAATTTGCATTACTTTGATTATTTGTGAGTGTGGACACTTTCTCCACATCTGTTTACTGATGATGTTACTGTTTGTGAAAACGATGTGTTTCTGCTCCCTCTTTCTTAGCCCTAATCTTTCTGGCAGAGAATGAAGAAAGAGACCGAAGTCTAAGTTAGGATTCTATGACCTGGAGAGTATTTAGGGAGCCAATGTCATTTTTTTTAAAATCAGAAATTTACATTTAATCTGTGCTTGTGATGAATGAAGTCAAATTATAAGGTAAAGAAAAACCCCAATGTGCAAAAGGCAGGTAATGGCTCCTTTGCCTAACGCTGGCAGCTGACTATACCCATGGGTTCTTTGGGACATGGATGGTGCCGAGTTGTGCAATATGGATCACGTGGCTTTATTCAAGTCATGAAACTTGCTTAAATCTTCATTTAAGCAAGGCAGAGATTAAATGTACAAGTAAAAAGCATTTAAATCATTGTTTTTTTCCTAAGTAAAAATAACAGCTAGAATAAAATAATAAATACAGTTTCCAATTATTTTCATTGCAAAAACAAATACACACTTTGGTCAACAAAACACACACCCTTAGTACTCATTAAATTCTGCACATAAAAGACAATTGGTTGTTCTTAGTCAAATAGAGAGAACGGTGACACATGGAGGAAAGTGATCCCTTACTAAATAATAATGCATTAAGGAAGAAACACATGTAACATCTTTGAGCCTCAGTCTCCTCATCTGTAAAATGGAGCTATGGCAGCTATGAGGAGTAAAGGAGATTAAACAACATACGTGTCTTGAACATTTTTACTCAGTAGTGTCCTATATACAGGACTCAATAATAACTGAGTACCTACTAATAAGGTATTCAATAAACTATAGGGAGTAAATCAACTACACTTTAATAATAAAAATAAATAAACGATAGGGATCCCTCCCCCACCCCTCTTCTCTATATGTTCAACTCCACACACCCAGCTGAGTCTCTGCACTGCTTGGTAACAACACAGGGAAATGGTGACCTCTTGGTTTTGCGGGGAGGGCTTGCATCAAGTGGCCCCCCGAGTCTTAGCCTGGCTGAGGCTCAGTGATGAGAGAAGTTGCCGCCAGCCAATTAGAAACAGCTTTCTTGGAAAGGGGCTGCCCTAAGGTGCTCAGGTCAAGTGGAACAAAGACGGGGAGGGGCTCCTTCTGTGTCAGAAAGTAACAAAGGGCAAAAGAGGCATTTTGGATCCAGTGGGGTTACCGAGAGGACAGACATAAGAGGTTGAGTAAAGCCAAACAGAAAAAAATAAAAAATAAAATTCACTTTTAGTTCAGGAAAAATATTGCATGTGTGTATGATTGGTTGGGGAAAAAAATAAAGACATGAAACAGCAGGGTAATCTAGAAAGAAAATATTGATAGTAATGAAAACTATAAGATGATAACTGTTTTTAAAAATGTCTGTGGTAGTTTTGGGAAAAATGTCTTAGTTTAAGTTTTTAAGTTAAAATTTTAAGTAAAAATGTCTTAGGTTTTGTTTTTACCATTTAACTACCTGTCTGATCTTTCCAATTCACTCAACCTCTCTGCACCTATTTCTTCATTTTTGCAATGGACACCATCTGCTTGGCGAACTTCAAAGCTACTAAAAGAATGGGTTAAATGAGATGAGATGTGAGGAAGCGTTGAACAATGTCAAAGTCCTGCACAAATTGAACATTAGAGCCTTATTCCCTGCAAAATGGAAAAAGCACCATCTAAAAGGAAGAGCTTCCCTGTGCTGAGTGTCTGCTACTTGAACTCACTTCTCCAGACCCTTGACCTTCACTATCACACTTAGTTTCCAGAAGAACCACAAGGTAAATAGGATTATCGCTCTTTTACAGGTGACGAAACAGGGCTCAGAGAGGGCAAGTTACCCAAGGCTACATGGCTAGAAAGTGGAGGAGCCCAGAGCAATGTGATTTCTGGCATTTATACCATATCGACCCATGACAATAGCACAAGAGAAGGTATTCTGAGTTGAGAAGGTGCTCAACAAATCATCAGGTGTGACTTTGTCCTCAGAAACCCCTTTGTCACACTGATCCTAAGCTGCCCTGCTGTGTGCTATCTGCGCACTTATCTTATCCCTATAGACTGAATGCCTTGGGGTTTGGGTTCTCTGCCCCAGAGCCTGGAATATAGTACATGCTTTCTGACGAATCTTTGTTGAATTGAACATTTGGAAGGCAAATGTGTCCAATATACACACGTGCTTGTGCATCAGTAAGCAGTGCTGCACGCTAATTTTCTTTAGTTACAAGAGCCAAAGGTGCCCAAGGCTGCTTACAAAGTCCTGTAGCTCCCACCCCACCAGTCTGTTAACTTCTTCACTATTTCCTCCACCTGGGGAAGGACGGCTGCTTCTTCCCAGGGTCCTAGAGAGCAGGGCGGGAGGAGCCCCAGTCAGGAAAGAAATAGGGCCCGTTTACGTCCTCTACTGTAGGTACCAGTAGAGACCTTACACACTGTAGGGATCCAAAACCACAACTCCTGGTGCTCACGATTAAAGAAGTTGTGTTCCAAGAATTAACTAAGATGCCATCAGCAAAATGTATGGGAGAATGGGCACTCTCATACCCTTCTGGTGGGAACACAAACTGCAATTCCTATCAAAACCCTAAAAGAGGTAAAGGGCCTTTGGCCCACTAATTCCACTTCCAGAAATTTATCTGGATGAAATAATTAAGAATTCCCGCATGGATTTACCTATGAGGACGTTTGCCTAGAAAAAATGGGAACTAAAGTGTCCAATAATGGGATTAATGAATGTATGTATGTCCATTAGATAAAATTATATGTAGCCATTTAAAACAACAACATGTGCAGGAAACATTTAGTGGTCTGAGAAATGCTCAGGATACAGTTAGTGAAAATGCAGGTTATAAAATGAGGTTATTTTCTTTTTGCTTGCTGGATTTGTTGAATTTTCTCCAACAAACATGTTTTTCATTTGTAAATGTTCAAAGTGTCATTAAAAAAAACACCAAGGGCTTCCCTGGTGGCGCAGTGGTTGAGAATCTGCCTGCCAATGCAGGGGACAAGGGTTCGAGCCCTGGTCTGGGAAGATCCCACATGCCACAGAGCAACTAGGCCCGTGAGCCACAACTACTGAGCCTGCGCGTCTGGAGCTTGTGCTCCGCAACAAGAGAGGCTGCAACAGTGAGAGGCCCGCGCACCGCGATGAAGAGTGGCCCCCGCTCGCCGCAACTAGAGAAAGCCCTCGCACAGGAACAAAGACCCAACACAGCCAAAAATAAATAACTTAATTAAATAAATTAAAATTAAAAAAAAAAACAAAATCATGAATCTGGTGGGAAGTGTAAATCTGTTCCTTCCTGAAGAGTCACACAGGAGGAAGACACTAGACAGAGCTGCAGATCAGAGGCCACTGCAGGGCGGCCGATTTCTTCCCAGGAGCCTCCACAGCTCGGCTCAGAGCTGGGACACTATTAGTTCCCATCCCTCAGTAAAGCAAAGGAGTCAGAAAATAATCCGATTCGTATCACCTTCCCCAAGCTGGAATAAAAAATCATGACTGAGATCTAATTTCCACCTGTCTGTGGAGAAGGCAGGGCCAGAGTCCCCAGGAGAAGCCTGGAGGCAGGAACCCAGAGAAGGAAGGGGGCTCTGTGTGGCCTTGGGTGGGAGCTGGGGTGAAGGAGCTGAGGATGTGACTTCATGAGGCAGAGGTTCCAGGAGAACATTCCTGGCCCAGGGGAGGTAGGGAGCAGGGTGCCTGGAAGACTACTCTGTGTGTGGAGGACCAAAAGGGAGAGGATTCCACGCCAGCCATGTTCTCAGGGTTTGTGCCCACAGGTGTGTGGACAGATTGGTTGCTCCAGGTGTGGGATGTGAGAGGACAGATGGGATGGTAACTCCCATTTGCCGAGTGGCTACTACGTGTTGCTGTTTAAATCCATTACCTCTTCTAATCCTTACAACAATCCAGTAAAAATCTGTATTTCCCCTACTTTACAAATGAGAAAAACTAAGTTCAGAGAGGTCTAGTAACTTACTCAAGGTCACACAGTTAATATCCTACACAACCAGCACTGAACTCGGTTCATCCATCTGCCTCAGAAGCCTAAACACCACTCCACATTGCAGGGGGAGCTCTAAAGCCTCCTGGGAGGCCGGGGCCTCCCGTCTCTGACTCAGCTTGCTGGTCTCTCTCCATGTTCGGATTTGTGCAGTGCCCTTCTCCAGTCTACTTCACGCTACAGCAAATGCAAATTACAATATGAATATTGATATCGAAATAGTATCCAGAGTTGGAATGTCTGTGATTGAGGTTGTAGCGGAGACAGGGAGCTGACAGTCGTGTGATACGGTGTGAAAACGTCTGTTCTACAAGAGTCTACCGGGATCTCCCTGCCCTGCACGTGCTTCCTCACTCTCTTCAATACACTAGGAAATGTTTAGCCAGAAGCTCAAGCCTTCACTAACCCAACTGTGAGTTTGCTCCTTTCAATCAAACAGACTCTAAATCAACAAGCTCGATTTATCTTTAAAAGATCAAAGATTTAAAAAGGGCTGTGAGGGAATTGCCTGGTGGTCCAATGGTTAAGACTCGGTCAGCCCTTTCAGTGCTGTGGCCTGGGTTCAATCCCTGGTCCGGCAACTGAGATACTGCAAGCTGTGTGGTGCGGCCAAAAAAAAAAGGGGGGGCTGTGAAATGGACAGTTGATTCAGTCATTTTGATTTTGATACTGAAGAAAAAAGATAATTTTTTAGGGGTTCCCCGACAGGCAAAAGAATGACATCCTTATGTAAATATCTTAGCGTTTCCTGTAGGTGAGAAAGAACGTGTGTGCAGCCACTGCTTTTAAAACAGGGCATTCTGGTGCCAGCTGCGTACGGCGCTGCAATAGAATGCGATTTGTTGAGAGCCGCAAGCCCAGCCACACAGCATCCTCCTGCAGGCCAGCTCTGGCAGGGAGGTGCTCTGGACAAAAGCACTGCATTCTCCCTTTAGAAAGCGACGGCTGGGTAGCATTCTTTGCCATTTCTTCTTCTTCCTAATTTTGAGCAAGTTAAACTTCAAAGAAGGCCAAGCTATAGAAGAACTTGACCACCTTGTTCCATTTATCCAGAGAAATGTGTTATCCCTCCTTCTTTTTTTGTTGTTGGGCCGAGGCAGAGCAGGTATGGAATAAAGCCACACTACAGTCTCTATTAACAATTATTTGCCAATGGTCACACGGATACCCTGAAAGCGCCTCTTTCAGATGCTTTGAAAGTCTGCAGCACAAATGAACGAGGGATGGAGAAGGGGCCCTGCTCAGTCGTATTAGAGCTGGACCCTCCACACACCACGGTGACCTCTCCACAGGTCAGCCCCACATTTTCTATTTGCAATTCAAACCCAAGGCGAGAGTGAAGAGGGCAAGGTTGGGTTCTTGATTATACCTGAGGGGTCACCATTGCTATGCAGAGTTAGAGGAGGCCAGGTGGCAACCCAGTACATTTGAAAATTGGGTCTTTGTTGGGAATTGCCTCAATTTCATAGCAGAAACCAAACTTGAGATGTCTGTATTGGACGCATCTAGGAAGCCACACAGATATGTTGCCACGTAAAGGGGAAGGGGCAGAGGAGAGGAACAAAAAAGCCAAGGAAATATTTTCTACCGCACTGAGAGAGGTCAGACAAAGCCAAATCCTAAATTAGCTCAGGAAAGGGAGCTGCAGCACTGTGGAAGACCTGGTCCCATCTGTCCCAAACAATGCTAGAGTTTCAATTACAAAATAGCTCTTCCAAGAACAACTGCAAAATATCAAGTCTGAAGAAATCTGTAAAACCGAAGGGGGGGAAAAGTGAAAATTGAAAAGGGTGCACTAATAGATCTGTCAACAGTCCGATGGTGACAAGCCACATTTCTATGAAATGCCTTCACCATTTGTGTCACCTGAAATGTACTGACACTCTCTATAGAACATTATCTCCTGAAGCTATTCTTGAAAAGACTGGCAGGGGGAAGAGGAGAAGGGGAGACACGGCTCTGCCTCAGATTCCATCAAGGAAAGGAGAGGGAGATGGCGTGAAGGAGAGTGATCTAGATTGTTTAAGTGAACCTTTGAACAACATCAAAAACCTGAGCTTAACTGCTTATCTGCAGAAATGTTACGCATCACAAAAAGGGGATTTTCTTAAGGCCCGACGCTTACTCATACGAGGAGGGAGGCAATGGCCTGCAGAGAGCGGATCTGACCAAGGAGGCACACGTGTCCTCTGCCTGAGGAGGGACCCTTTCTTTGCTTACTTCAGGTAATATTCTAATACTAGCCCGATGCAGTTATCAAGGAGGGAAAACCTGGTGAGAGCTCCGCCCTCCCTGCCCCTCCATTTTATATCAGCAGTCCAATTCAGTTACATGTGACTGGGATAGGAGATAAGAAGGTATATTGAGGGACTTAAATAACATCCAAGTAAAGAATTCCACCTGCCAGTCTCTGGCAGGGTGCAACAGACCACAGTTAAGGTCTATGTGAATTTACATTAGCAAGATTTTAATTTCAGGACTTGAATCTCAGCTGCTAAAAATTCACTCTCAGCTGAAACTAAGCATTTGAATCTTAGTCAGAACAAATTATTTTGCAATTAAAGTTAAGGAATCAATTCCTTTGACCATTTCAAGTTAATGAGAGGTCCTTTCTGACTTCATAAAATTAAAACTGCTTTCAATTTTTAAAAAACTGCCAAGACAGATGAAGGCCCTTATTAGCCTGCTAAATTTTGGGGGTGTGGGAATAATGAAATAAGTGATCTCAAACACCTTTTGGAAAACAACACTTGTTTCAGGAAGGTAGTATGAAATACTATAGTGGTAAGAGCAAACACTGAGGTAGATGGATCTGGAATCGAATCCCGGCTCTGCCAGGCTCGAACAGCATGACCTTGGGCAAATTACTCCACCTTTGAACCGTGGTCCCCTTACACATGAAATGAGAATAAGATCCCCCAGTGTTGTTCTATGGATTAAATGTGAAAGCTCCTGGCCTGGACCATCCTTAGAAAGTGCTTAACGAAGGTTGGCAATGCTATTAATGATGATGATATTCATAACAACATAAAGATGCCCTCTCTGTTGTATGAACCTCTCTGTACAAGTCCAGAGAATCAGGTAGGGGGACTCTTAGTCAGGATGTAGTTTGCATGATTTTATACGATTTTACTGATGGTCCAAGAAGACAATCAGAGCCTCTCCCTGCCCCTCTGACTCTCACACATGAAATGTGAGTAGAGCCCGAAGTGTCCTCCTCAAACCCACCCTCTGTGCCCTGTTCTGTGTGGCGGCCGCGTGCATGCCAGAACCATGGCAGTCATTTCCTGGAGATGCTTCTTGGTTTTGGTTACAGTCAGCCCCAGGGCAGAGGTCAACTGTAGGAGGTGGTGGTGCTGGGATGGGGAGGCCGAGCCAATTTGTATGGACCCTGGTGAAGCTCAGGCCCGGTGGGGCGGGCAGGGGACAGACTGACAGTGGTAACTCTGAACTTGCTTGCCTTTGTGGGTTTAAGCCAGTCTTAATGTTATTTGAAGACAGTTTTTTGTCTGTGAATATTTATAACAGTGTGAAAACTCCCGGACAGCTGGTAATGCATTTTGAAGTGTGCTAACAACACTGTATCAAACAGCCTCTATTGATCACATCGTACTTTTTTGTGGCCACGCATTTCATACATGGTGCTTATACATTTTGAATAAGAACTTCAAGTACCTTTTGCTTCAAGCGGTTTTTCACCTCTTTTATTCCCATTTTTGCATGATCTTTTGCCTGCATGAAAAATTAATTTAAGTTAAGATTCCCTCTCTGTTTCCAGCAGGGACTATGCTTGATTTCAGTCCATCGTGAATCACCTTCTCTGATTACTAGAAAAAGGAAGGAAAAATGGGATCATCAAGTTGAAAACATAATGGCTATGCAAACAAATACAATGTTGAAAGGTTAAAAAAAAAAATCCCTTAAAGAGGCTACAGAGATTTTATTTTCTGCATTTTGATGGGACTGATTTTTTTCCCCTCCGAAGCCCTTCTTCTGCTCTCTGTAGTTATTTATCTCCGCAGCCTGGTGACAGCTACCAGTAAGAGGAGAGCAGAAGCTTCTTCAGCTGCAAGATTCAGAATATCTATTACACTTCACCAGGGCAGGGCCTCAGGACCAATTTTCTGCCCAGGCTGAACAGACGCATCGCTGGGTTTCTCTGGTGCCATTTCTTAAATCTCATTTCGGCAGACACCCTGGCTTTTATTTTCTGTCATTCTAAGACCTGTGTGGTTCTCTTGGCAGCCACCCGCCCCATTAAAATAGCTACAATTTAAGCACAGAAAGGACTAACAAAATTAAAAATGGAAATAAAACAAAACCACCCCAGTTAAGTGGCTCAGAGTCAAATTAGCAAGCAAGAGAAATCATGAGAAAAAATACTTGAGGCCCGTAAAAGATGGAGCATCGGGAACTGGTGTGTTCTCTTATTTTCACTCTGCTGTGGGCACGAGTTTCACAAACAATGCATTTCCTATATAGGGCAGTGATGAGAGAGATGATGAAGAATTTGGGACAAAAATTTGGGGGTGTGTCCCACCAGGAGCACTCTTCAGTAACCTGTAAAGGAGCTGCTTTATTCTAACATTATAACAAGGATACGTGTAGGAAAGGTCTGCCAGAACACCTGACAGACCACACCTCTGGTTCTCAGGGATGCAGGCGTGGAGCAGCCTGAATTTTAGCCACTCTGTCTACATTTTAAAAGCTAAAACCAGTAGCCTCCCTTTTCTCTATTGCAGCAACTGTGTGTAGAAACATCTTAAATTAAAAATGTCACTGACCTGGTCATAAAACGTCAATGCCAAATAATTCTAAGAGCACTGAGAGCTTTAGGAAATTACACAGCAGCCCCTGAATCATCTCTGCAACATAGGATCAGGTCTATTTAAGAGTTTCGTCATGCTAAGGAACAGATTTGTTGGGATCCTGGGACCAAGACCAGTACTTACGAACTTATAGACAGTCTTCATGGCTGGGTTTGCTTTCGTTTTTACAGTATTCAGAATTGCTCCACTTCCTTTCTATAATAAAAACGCCAGTTAGCAATTTGGACTGAAGATATAGTAGGCCAACACCAACAAAGACCTCTTCTCTTTAATCAAGTTAAGCCACACTTCATAAGTGTGTAACTTAATTAGAGAAACAGCCCTAGATGGTGACTGGTCCCGGGCAATTAAGTTATGGCCACGGTGGAATCCCTCTGAGGGGGTATGGGAGAGGGTGGGGAATGAGGATGGAGATAAACTAGCTGAGCGGGGAGACCCCAGGCTCAGTATTTTGCTTGGCACCTGTTTGCTGGCTGGGAGGAAAGCTCATCATAGGCTCTCTGACGCAAGGGTTTCCTCAGAGTAATCTACAGCTTCTCAAGAAGTTCCAGTTACCACGGACAACATTAAGGGAAGTTTAATAACAATGGACTCTAACTAACTAACACCGAGCCAGGGCAGGAAACTGGGGGCCCACTTAGGCAAGATTATCTGGCTACTGTGGCTACCTTAAGCCATGAACCCTTCTTTCCTCACCCTGGTTTTCTGTGTTGTTTTTTAAAAATCACTCTGGTAGGCTGCCTCCCTAACATGTACATCTTGACAAAGGGAAAGAAAGAATAGCCACAGACGTTCATTGTTTATACTTTAGTATAAATCCGACATACCGATTCTTTGGCTCTGTTTTTTCAGGAGAGCAGTGGGGCAAAAGGAGGAGGGAAGGCTTTCCCAGTACACAGAGGAGGCAATGAATGTGTATGAAGCGCACAGGCTCTAGACGTTTTGTGAGGGCTCACTGTGGGGACGTCCTGGCTTAGGCTCTGAGGGTACCGAGCCACCGGAGGACCGGTCTCTGCCTTCAAAGACCTCCAGTCTGAGGGGTAAACGAATGCAACCCAAGATGGTGAGAGCCGCACTGGCCGTGTGCACAGGAGGGTGGTGGCAGCTCACTGTGTGGAAGGGCTGAGAAGGCTTTAGAGGATGAAATATTTGGTCCGTGAAGGATGAGTAGGAGCTCGTGGTGGGGTGAGGAAGGATAAGAACATTCTAGGGACAGGAAACAGCACATGAATAAGTGCAGCAGCTGCAAAGCCATGGTGTGTTCTGTGAGTAACAAGGGCCATGCATCACGGGAGGACTGGCAAGTGGGGCTGAGAGCCAGACAGGGTCAGCCCACAGAGGGCCAGCACAAGGAGTCCACACTCCAGAAGATTTTTAACCAAATGCATCACATAATCAGATTTGTGGTAATTCCAACTGATTTGAATGGAGAGAGAGACCTGATCCAGTGCGTATACAACAGAGTAAGATACGCTATGTAATTATTAGGATTAACTTTTAGCACAATTTTTGGTAACTGCCTGCATTAGAAAATTTGAGCTTTAATTAAGAACTTCAAAATTTGACCTAGAAAGCATTCTCTGTTGTAGGATAATAGGAAATTTTCACCCACTCATATATTCCACACTGCTTTCCAAAATTACTCAGTATCCTGTTTCAATGGTCCTTTAGAGTATTAAAACTCCCTTTATCAATCAATCAACAAGTCCTTATTGCTTGTCTGTGATTTGCCAAGTGCCGTGTTTGGCCATATGAGAGGAACAAAAGAAGCCTTTCATTGAGGAATTGCTTACTCTCGGCCCACTGCAGCCACTTCCAAGGAACCTGCCTTGGCAGTAGCGCACTTGGCCCACAAGCAGCAGAGAACACTTGTCACACTATGTCGGAGCTGCCCATCTATGTGCCTGCCTCACCAGTAAGGCCGGGAGCTCCCCCAGGGCAGGGCCTGCGTCCTGCTCTCCACTATCTCCCCAGCACCCAGCGTGGCGCCCAGCACACAGAAGCCCTTTGGTACACACTCACTAATGAACCCACGTAAAGGAAGGGCAAGTATCTGAATTCTTTAGTGGCTTCTGAAGCCCTAAGCACCTGGCTTCCAACACAATAAAAAACTGTTCACAACAACAGCGAGGGGATGAAAACTCTCAGGGATGCATTTTCCATCCTCTCAGGAGCCTTTGTGGTGAAACATGTTCAGAGCAGCAGGAGGGACAAATTTTTGGTTTTCCCATGAAGAGTTCCCAATTGGTCTGGCCCTAGAAGGAGACCCCGCAAAATGCTCTAAGATGGCAACATCCTTTCAACACGCCTTGGCCTGCTTCCTGAGACACGGAAGCTTCTCCTGGCTCTCATCATCCTCACCGAGGGATGGCTTTGGACAGTCTCATCCTTGGCCCGAGAACGGCCTGGCTTTACAAACAAAAGCATCTTCAGCTGGGAGAACAGAGTGCCCTGGGCCGAATGAACAGAGTGCCCTGGGCCTGGTGGGTGGCAGGGGAAGAGGAGGGCTGCCAGGAGGCTAAGGAGGGGCCCAGGTGGCTCTGCGGGGGTGACACTTACCCGGACTGTGGAGAGCCACTGGTGGTACAGTTTATCACTCCCTGGGGAAGGAAGAAGCAGAGAAGCTGGTATTTAAAGAAGTCATGTGTAGGCCCCCAGGAGTTGTTCAAGTTGCTTTCAGCATGCAGGACTTGGAAAGTTCAAAATCTGGAGAATCACATGGAGGCTCCCATGCACCACTCCCTGAAGGAGTTGCTGCCACAGGTTTTCTTTCTCAAAGTGAGATCTGATCCTATCAGTGTCCCGAGTACAAACCCAAATCCTCCTCCTTGCCTACTGGATAGAGGTCGGGCCCTTTAGCAACCCTGCCTCTCTTCCCCTGTCCTGTCTTGGCACTACCCACCCTCTGCCTCTCCATCCTGTGCTTCCATCCTGCACAACCTCAGGCTCCCTGGCCACACCTCCTCCAAGCCATCCATGCCCTCGCAAATGCTGTTCCCCTTGCCTGGCCACCGTTCCCTGCTCTCTCTGCTGCACACGCTCAGGGACCAGCTCAGTCATTTCCTTTGTAAGTTTCTCTTACTCCTTCCTCTCAACAGCCCTCTAGAATAGGTAACACCCATTCAGAGGTCCACATTCTCTCAAGTTCTGTGAGCCACGCCAGGGCAGGAACCACAGGGCCGTGTGTCCAGTGTAAGCACACTGCTGGACACACACTCGGCCCTTCTCATGCTTAAGCAGTGACAGGGAAGAAAAAGGAGGTGCTGTGAGGAACTGATTCATTTTATCTGGTGGGATAAGTAGGTCTTATCAGCAGACAGCTTTTCTAGGAGTCCGAATGACTAGACTTAGTTTAGCAACACATAAAGCCTGTCTTCTCCCCAGAACCCATATTCAACTGTTAGAACGCTACTCAAAACCCGCCTCCTTTGTGAAGCCCTCATGTTACAGAGTGAGCATTAATAGAGCCCTATTCTACCTGCACAAAAACACGTGTCTGCTCCTTTTCCTGCAGTGGCTTAGTCTGTATTTGTCTTTAGTTATGAGCTTTCTCCCATCAGTCTAAAAGTTCCCTGAGGGCAGAACTGGGCCCCCCATTCTTACTGTACAGGGCTGTGGACACAGCAGATGTCCAGGAAATGCTCATCAATGACTCACACCAGTTTTATTGATTACTGTGCTCTCCATGCAGCACAGGCTGGTAGGGCCTGACAAAGGGGTCTGTAGGTGAGATCACACCTGGCTCTATGAGTTTATGGACTGCCAGTTGGATTATCAGCATAGTCGAGACCAGACACACGCCCAGCAATAAGAGGGGGCTAGTAGCGTGATTATTATTGTTTTGCATTTAGTTTTACTTTGCTGACAGAGACTGAGTTGGGTCTTGGAAAGGCAGCCAGATTGGGATTCAGGAGGCAGGGTCAGCCACTAACATTTCTCTGGGCCTCAGATGCCTCCTCTGAAAAATGAGAGGATGATTCCTCTGGTTCTAAAGGCCTGCAGAGACAGGGCACCCGCGATGATCTTCACATTTTAAAGAAACATCTACTAAGCTGCGATCCTCTGCCAGGGTCTGTCCTGGGCGACTGCACAAACCTTTCCTTGGGGTCTCTGATTTAATCTCAACAGGACACCTGTGAGGTAGGCACTGTTACACTCCGTGCACAGATAAGAACACTTCAGCTGAAAGAGGTGAAGGGACTCGACCAAGTTCTCACTGCTGGGCAGTGAATCCTGGTCTCCTAATTCGATTCCTCATGTGCTTTCCACTGCATCGTGCAGGCCACTACGTTACCTAGACTTCGCCCACCCAGGAGAAGCAAGTGACCCCAGGACAGAGGACTTCAGATGGGCCAATGTGCCTCTCATCAGAACATGAAGAGGAATTCCAACACTTCAAGGCCAAGGTTGAAATCAGTCTCTCTAATCCCCAGTGAAGGAAAAAAGAAGTCATTGCCACTCCTAGCGAACACACCCCAATCCCACAGACAGCCCACAGCTCAGAAAGAAAAACGAAATGCCCTCACCAGCATACTCGCCCATGTTGATCTCCTCTTCAAAAACATCACTGAAGCCCTCACCGGAATTGAGAAGGTCTAATCTACCATCGATAAACTATACAAAGAAAGAACAAAAGCATAACAGCTAGTGCAAAGGAACGGGGAAAGGACGTTCAGCTGGGCTCCGTAGTAGATGACCAAAGAACCAAGACAGGAAAGGGTCTTTGGAATGGTGAGCTTAAAAAGGCGAGTTTCTGAAAAACTCGCTGCGTGTTTATGATAACTTATAAAACTGCACGGCATATTTGCAAAGGCTCCGTCTGGTGGCTGAGCTCCCTTCTCACCCAATCTCCCTCCCCAAACTCTGGGCCTCTCTGGGCTGAGGCCTGAGTTCCACCCATGCCTGCAGCCTCAGTGCTTAGAGTGGAGGCAGCTGCAGAAACCCCACCAGGAACCCAGGTGCAGAACAGGTGAGGGTGCCGGGCACCTGTTTGAAGAGCTGCAGCTGTGTGGCGTTCTGCAGGAACTGCCTCATGGCTCCGGAGCGATAGTGGGACACGAAGGCTTCCTCGCAAAAGGTGATTGGCTCCTCCTGGGAGACAGAGATGAGACGGGGAGAGGAGGGTTAGAGGGATGGGGTGAGAGAGATCAGTGCTTGAACTCTGTTAGGTGGCGCTTCTATATCTGCTGATTTATCTAATCCTCACTTACCTGTGAAGTGGCTGTTATGCTCGATGGCATTCTACTCTATGGATGAGGAAGTTATTTCAGAGAGGAAAAGACATCTCCCAAGGTCGCAGGGTAAGAGGCAGAGTGGGAACCAAAGGCAGTATTCCAAACCCCACCACCCCCTTCCATATTAGCCACAGGCATACCCCAACAGCAAGTTAGTGGAATGTGCCCTTCGGAGGGGGATCATTTCCAAACTCTTCTTTTCACTTTTAGGAGAGGAACTCTTTCTTTGGACAGCACCTTAGGCAGAAGGAGCCCTGCCGCATTCAACAGCCCAGCTGCTCTGGGAGGGCTGGGGGCAGGGATGGAGGCTGGGCTCTCCTTGCTGGGTGGTCCCCCCGCCCCCCACTTGCACCTTTGCAGTCCCTAAGGCACCAGCCATGGAACACAGTGTGGAAACTATTTACAGAGTGAGCTTAACCAGTAGCGAGTTATAATTTTAAAATAATTAATTATATTAAAAACCAGGAATGATCAAAAATAAAATATATCATCCAGTCAACTTTGTGCTTATGCTGCTTGATGAGGACTACATTTTATGAGTCAAGAAAAGACACCCTAAGCTTAAAAAACCACCCATCTTTGTAGTCAGCACCTCACTCCTTCTTTGAAGGTATGTGGAGTACTCATCTACACAGACAAGTCTTTAATTTCAACAGTGTATTCTCAATTCTGAAAGATCAGACTTTTACAAGTTGAACTAAATTAAAGGTACCTCTCCCTTCACAGACTTGGTGGCAAACACAGATGTTTGAAGCTCTACTTTTATCCTGCTTTAATGAGTTAGGTGAGTGTTAAAGTTACTGTGTAGCGGCTGTAAATTCCAAGAGTTCCTCCTGCTTAAATCCAGCCAATATTAGCTCAGCAACTGGGCAGACCTACTGCTCAAGGGTGATAAGGATGACCCTAAAATACTAGGGTGAGGGGAATATTTATTTTTATACAGTTACACCTCACCTAATTTTACAAAGAATCTGAGGCAGCTTACATGAGCACCTAAAACAGAGAAAAAAATCAGCTCTGGAGAATACATAAATATGTAAAATGTATTTATTTGGGAAATAATATCTGGATACGCGGATCCTATATGGTTTCTAAAATTCAGTTACAAAATTAGCTCTGAGCTTCCTGGCTGCCACCGAAGCAAGAAGGGAACAATGCAAATGTTATATGGTCTATGAGGAAAAAACACACACCAGTTCCTCAGGAAAAAGGGTTTTCATGACATTTATTACTTTGGCATGGATTTATACCTTCCTTGCTGAACAGTGGAAAGATCAGTGAGAACCAACAGAAGCCCACCTGGAATCCCATTCCTGTGGCCTGGAAGTGTCGCTCCTCACCCTTGGAACCACAGTAGGGCAATTAATTCTCTCTCCAGGAGGCCTCATCCACGAACACAGTGTCACCCATACACTGATCACTCCTAATAAACATTGTCAGCTCAGACGTCTCTTGTTCCAAATCCATATGTCTCAATCCCCACCTGGATGGCCCACTGGAACCTCAAACTCAGAATGGCCAAAGCTCCCAATTACTATCCCATCTGGACTGCACTCTAAATCTGTTTTTCTTTCTGAAGTTACCATTATCCATAGCTACTCACAGCAGACCTATCAATTCCCTAGTCTTTCCCATTTTCCCACTGCAACGTCTCATCTGTCTGTCCCCTACTCTCTATCTCTTGGCACGGGCCTGACTGCCATGGTGGACGTTCAGCTTCATGTCCCTCTCTTGTTTCGTTCCTCCCTGTCCACTTCAATCATTCTGGCCAGAGTGATTTCTAAAATGCAAATTGGATCATGTCACTATCCTACTCAAGAACTTTGATTGTGGAGATGTTACATTTGTGTGATTATTTAATTCTTGCACGAGACTATAAGCTTCATGGGGGCAGGAACAGTCCCCGCTTGTCTAACAGCAAGTGTCACACACGCGAGCTCCTGTGTGGGGGAGGAAAGAACAAGTCCTTGCTCCTTAGTCAGGCAAACAAACCTTTCCTAAGCTGAGAGAGTCCTTGCTTTTCCAGAGTCCTTTTGTGTCACTTTCCTATGCTCCCCTGTACACCTTATGCTTCAGAGGTATCTCCTAATCACAGGCCATGTCCTTTCCCACTTTCTTCCGTGCTTTTGCCAGTTCTACTCCTTCCACCTGGACTATCATGCTTTAAACACAGGCCTGTGTGCGGCAGTCACTTACCCCTGCTCAGTGCTCCCACAGTGCCTTGTGCACCCTGGGTGCTGGGTAATCTTCACTGGTGTCCCTGTGACCAGAAGCTCGAGAGGGCAGAGGCCCTGCTGGATGCATCACTATACTCCCTAGGGACAGTGCAGTACCCAGCCCCCAGGCAGAAGCTCGAGGATGTTGGTTAAAGAACTGCAGAATGTGCTTGGCCTGGTTCCTGTCACAGGAGCCCTGCGATCTCCGTGTGGCTGAGACACCGCTTAGTCTGATGGTGGAGAGGTCTCAGAGTATGAGGCCAGGCTGAGTGACGTCCAGGGAGTTTAGAGCTGCTCAGAGGAAATGCTCATTGGAGCTGTTAGCATTCACTCCTGGAGCTTTGGCCCAGTGTTGCCAGGAAGGAGAAATCTGCAGAGGGACCAATAAATTCAAGAGAGTTTGCAACCAAATTTGCATGGAAGAGTAGCCTGAGGCAGGCTTTAGCTGTAGGAGAGCAGAAAGAATCTCATCTTTGGGGAGACAAGAACATTTTGGGGCCTGTTGTCTACTTAATGGAGATGACACCCCCTGGTCAGATGTCTGTGCCATAAAAACGAACAGAAGGACATGGGCACGGATGGGAAAGACTCAGGGGAAACGTTGACAACAGGGGCTCTTTCCGCAGACAGCAAAGAACAACATCAGCAGTGTCAGTTGGACATGGAAACAAGTACTGCCTACAGTGTCGTGCTGCTGGGGTGGGTGGCAAAATATGCCCTGGAGTCAGACAGGAAAAGGCTGGTCCTTGCAGGGCAGCAGGTGCGGACATATGAGAAGTCGGTACATTCAGTGGAGTCTGGAAGGGTGAGTAAGTTAGGTGATCTGTTCCCACCCATTCAGGGCAACGGTTCTACCCTCACCCTGCCCTGTCACTCAGAGTCATGTATAAAAGGTCTGACCGGCAGCAGGCACAGAGGGCACATTCCCCTGCACTACTCACCTTCTAAGGAAATGACGATAATCACGGTTCACCTGATCCTTACATAACAGCAGGTAGGGTACCTTGCCTGAGGTCACATGACCCGCATATGGCAGAGTCAGGGTTTAATACAAGGTGGCCTCCAAAGCTCAGTCATCTCATGCATGGTCTGCTATAGACTTGGGTTTTCTCTGAGGCCTCAGTTTTGTTTGCTCTTGGACACCTGCTGGGGAGCACAAGCGTTCTCTTTAAAGTGGGAGCCCCTCATGTTCTCCTAGTGGACACTCAGAGCACCAGCCCCTCAGAGACAAACAACTCCCGGGAGGGAGTAGGCGAGGCGTCGTGAAGGAGGCGCTCCTTCTGTCATGGAACCAACTGGACACCTAACCATTTGCACCCACTTGTCCACCTCCTCCTGCGGTTGAAATGGCTGCCCCCACTCTGCTCTCTGCAGCGGAGGGGAGAAGGCAAGGTGTCTCGTTAATTCCCTCCTTTACAAGAAGTGCCGATTTAGTTCTCCTGTTAGGCTGATTAAACCTTTTGTCTTCTCGGGCGACACTCTAGGCGCTGGGGTTACTGACTGATAGCCACGTTAATTCAGGCAAGTCAGGCCATGAGCATTCAAGCTCAGATCGCATTAGTAGAGTTTTCCATCTATGACCCGAAGGACAGTTAAACACAGCTGCTTAACCCTATCAAGGACTTTGTTATGGAAAGACAAGTTTTACTCTTGTCAAGATCTTGACACATGGAATCAATTGGAAATTCCATTATTAATGAGTCCATCCACGTTAACAGGTGAAGTTGGTGATTCCAAAGGTTTTTGATACTTCCAGGAATAAATGGCTTTTATCCACAGCATTGCGGGTACTGGCATAAAAATAAAATCTCCCATCAGATTCCTTGGCATCTTTCCTTGTTCTGCTGATCCATACTCAAAGTATCAAATTCTTATTTTCCTTCACAAATTTAATTTTTATCAAAATCTTATGTGCACATTTACCCGGAAATTCTAAGGAAAAAAGGAGGTGCCCACTCTTTATGGACCTTGCTTAAATTTAAAAAAAATGATAATTTTGGAAGATTCATCCGTCCAAACATTTTTAAAACACCTATTGTGTGCCAGGCTCTGAATTAGGGGAATACAAAGATGAATAAAATACAGTTCCTACATGTAATACCAATAATCAAATGACGGGTGGGGAGTAGATGAAGGTATGTATAGATGATACAAGAACAGCAGAATGTTATGTTTATAGCAGCATTATTCACAAAAGCCAAATGATGGATGCAATCCGAATGTCTACAGATGAATGGATAAACAAAATATACATATAATGAAATACTATTCAGCCTTCAAAAGGAAGGAATTTATGGCACATGCTACAATATGAATGAAGCTTGAAGGCATTGCGCTAAGTGAAATAAGCCAGCAACGAAAGGGCAAATACTGTCTGATTCCACTTCTCTCTCGAGTTGTGTCAACTTCATAGGGACCGAAAGTAGAATGGTGGTTGCCAGGGGCTGGCGGGAGAGACGGGGAGCTGTTGCTTAAAGGGTACAGACTTTCAGTTTTGCAAGATGAAAAAGTTCTAGAGATGGATGGTGGTGATGGTTGCACAACAGTGCGAATATACTTCATGACACTGAGCTGTCCGCCTAAAAATGGCTAAAGTGGTAAAATTTATGTTATGTATATTTTACCATAATTAAAAATTTTA